GACGTTAAAGTGTGCACAAAATGGCATCATAAGGGTTATCTAATAAATGACTTTTTTACACCAACGTTGTTGCTCAATAATCCGAGAGAGCGGCAATCAAAGTACCTGCACAATGTAATTCACAACGCACCAAAAAAGACCTTGAACACTGTGAAAGCAGTTTTCAATAACAAATGAAAAGGTAGAGGGTGGAAATAAAATTTGTCTTTCAACTAAGTGCTCCAAAGGTTTCGCCCTTCTACCTCATCTCAATAGACCACAGGCCATTTCTTGTAAAATCGCACGCATCAAGTGATATCTTTGCAATGAAAGAATACAAATGTTGGATATTGCAAGTGATGGAATTGTCAGTTCATTACAATGTACGTGACCCTAATCAGCATTCGAATGCGTCACAATTGCCAAAATGCAAAATTTATCTTTGAAGGGCCAGAGCCAGCCCCCATTTGGTGTTTACTGCCCTTAAGTATATACATTATGCACCCACACCGCATAACCACCATTCGGTAACTTTGAAATGATCTACATTTCTCTCTGAGCACTGACCACGTTCCAGCCCAAAACCATCGCCGAGCGGTTATATGTAATGATGCGTGAAAGCCACGTGAAAGAAAGGATGACAATACCATTTGACGAATATTTGCCCCTCCTATGACATCATTCAAAAACCTTGAATGATTTTGTATGAGAAAGAAAAACTTACGTGAAAATAAACAAAAATTGCGCAAATAATTTCCAGGAACTCCTTGTGTAGCTTGCAAAGCTTGCAGATCGCAACTTTCGATCCTTATCAAATGCTTCATTGGCGCCATATGATATTTCTATCATTTAGACCTGCACACAGATACAGTATTGGATAAAATTAGCAGGGCAGAATAAAAGTCTCCGTGAAAAACATGTTGGAAATAGCAGCAATCCCAGCAAGGGAAACTTGTTTCGTGTAAGCGCCCTGTAGTCGTGGTCGCAAATTGCATATTCTGCAGATACAGATAAATAAACTCAATGCCGCCACTTTTTTTTAGCTTCGACAACTGTTGCGCAGTTGACGCGTCAGTAACTGCCAGCTGTATTGAAGCTTTGCTTTGGCCCACTATGACAAGTGCATGCATCTTGGGCAATGAAAGGCTCACAGCTTCCTATGCATTTCAAAACTGAGAGATACTGATCGTGATTTGTGAAACATGGTTTTAAAGTAAGCTGTTAAGTGCATTTAAGAGGAACATAATGCGTTTAGATAAGGCAGTACTGATAGCCTCATTCCTTGTAGAATAACCAGTCATCCGGTGGCTTCTATCTGGCATGGGTTTTCCGTCACTGGTGCTCTTGTTTTAAAAATGAGAATATGCTTGTTTCATTTGTTTGCCTTTGTCAGCACGCGCTGGTTTTGGGATGCTTCTAAAGCTTACGGGATAGCAAAACAATACATTATTTTGCCTGCTAAAATTTTTGACCCGCAAAACCCGGCCAAGTCTGGCCCATAACCCGGCCAAAAGCCCACAGGCTCTTGCGTGTCAGAAATTGGCGGGTTGATGAGCTGAAAAGTTGCGTCTCTTGTATGTGACCACCCGCGGGACCGGCCGTGCTTGGTCCGTACCTGCCTACATTCCGCCGTGCCCGGCTTGCACCCGTCTGCAGGACAGGCTGAGATCAGTGTGTGGGCAGACCGTGCTCAGTCTGTGTCTGCGTGGGGACCGACAGTGCTCGATCTCTACCCGTCTCCCTCGTCACCACAAGTGCCGAGTCGAGTATCTTCTCTCTTGAGACGTTAGTGTGCGTTGCTACGTTTAACACCAAAGTGGCATCTGGGTACAATAAATAGATTTCAGACAGTTAAACCGGAGTTCAGAGTACATTATGTATCTGTGATACCGTTGTTTGTAGACGGTACAACACAAGCTGAACAGCTGATGGATTCCTGTGCGTTTCGTAAGTGTGGCAGTGCGCTCCAATAACTACATGTAATCCATCGCGGGCATAGTTTGCTTGGCCACTACCGCTCAAAACCACGATCATGTGGACCCACAGACTGTCATGCGTGCGAAGCCTCATGGCACCACGCGCGATCGTGTGAGCCTGGTTCACGGCTGGCTGCGTTTTGGCGTCGGGCATCACCTGTTCAGTCCTCCGTGGCAGCATTTGAGGCTCGTAACAGAAGATGGCCTTTCTTGTTTAATATAGCTCCCCATAATACTGTGCTACAAACCTCGCAAAAAAAAACATCGGCGCTCAGCGTAGGATGTCAGGCGGCTCCCACATAGGCAAGAGCACCAGCAAGGGGGAGGGGAGCTGTAAATTTTTGGTTGCTTCTTTTCAGTTAACGCGCCTATCGGGCGAATGCAAAGTTGAAAGAAATTTGGGGCGCTCATCCACCCTACCTAATGCCCGCACCCCAGGCGTAAGCGTATCCACTTGCACACGCATCGCATTTTAACGGCTTTGTGGAATATAAACTAACAAAGCACATGGTCATGCTTACTGTATAATTCTACCTGAAAGATTCGTGGATGTATGTACGCGCTGGAAAAAGTCTACTTGTTTCTGGCACGAAGGGAGACGATGTTCACGCTGAAATATCTCCAACAACATTTCAGCTCATCTCCAGCAGCTCACGCGTCTTGCAATCCACACACCATCATGCTTTAAATTAAACTCAGCGCATTCAGCTATCTGATGACAGGTACCTAGGGTCAAAAGTTTGTCAATCATCTGTACGAAGATTTTCGATGTTCCAGCTGCCCCGCAGCGTGACGCCCCACGGCTAGCGGTCGTACTGCGCTAAAGTTTCGGCACCAGTAACGTCATCACCCTTTTAAATGCGGGCGAAACCCCGTCTTATGGCAAAGCCCATGTACGGCAGCCCCAACGGTAGCTTTCTCCTAGCTATTGAAATGAAACCCGCTTGATAAGGATTTGATTTTGTTTCCCAAAACTGGCATGCGTTTGCTTTTCTATGCGCGTTTTTAGTACCAAAATATTACGCAGCCAAATTTATTGTAACTTTTTACTTTGTTTTTGGCCGCAGCGCAACGGATTTAGGCACTCCCATGATCAAAACACCACTGCTTCATAATGCCTCCCTGTGGGACTTTTGCTAAGTACTTCAAAATTATGCAGGCATTACATCATAGATAAAACAGTGCCAGTAAAATAACACTAGAAGAGTTACGGCATATTCTCCGATCCGTGTGGGACCTTTTTTCAACCAGTTTTCTTTTTTGACGGCATTCATGTGACGTCCCTTTCCAGGAGCTTTCGCTTTGCGCTGATAGGCAGAAAGGGAAAGCATCATTCAGTTGTTTCCCATTCAAATCACTCATCAATGTTTTCATGGCCTCAATAACGTGCTGTGATTTAGAGTTAAGCAAGACAGCAGGGGTATTGGCAGTGGAGTAATGGTGAAATATTTATTACACTATTGTATCATGCTCACTGCAGAGATTTTCCACCATTTTTCCACCTAGATTTTGCCAGTCATCCCCTGAGCTGCACGTTCAGAGGCCATTGGCCGGGTCGTCTAAGCTCTTGGCTATTTCTGAAACCCATGAGGAAATTTTAAGTTAAGTTACACTGACACTGCACGATTCGGGTTTCTGTGAAAATTGATATAGTCATCAAGGGCAGCCCAGCCTGCTGATCCCACAATCACGCCCGCGAAATTCCTGTGTTTTCTGTGGGTGGTCTGTGTTTGCCCAGGTGTCCGGAGGAGCCGGTGTATGTGTTCAACTGTGTTCCGGCTTCGACGTCGATTGTGTTCCCCTGTCGATCAATCGGCTTCAATGTCGTCGGGCGTCGATCACTGACAAAAGAACTGTCCATGGCACGTCATTAGGATTCCATCGGGCTGGTATCGGACGATCCATCGTGACTATTTCTGGGGCCTGTCTCGACTTGGCTCTCTGCTCTCCTCCCCTCTCATTATGTTTTCTTAAGCTCTGCCTTTGGCTGGGTGCTGCTTTCCACCTACTTTTTGTTACGAGTGCGACAAAATTGAGTGCCGTTCTTCTGCTGCTCCGCTAGTCAAGTTGGTGATGCTTGGAACGGGCACTGTAAATAATCATGTTAGCCAGACAATATATTAACTAATAATATATTACCCAAGCTGCATTTTGTCACTATTTCTATATGTTCAAGATAAAGGGATACACAACAACGGTTCCTGCTCCCGATTTTGCAAATCAGCAAGGCTCTGGCTTTGGAATCATAATTGTTTCCTGTTTATTTTTCCCAGACCGTCCGAAATACTAGCTGTCTCGGAAACCGCGCTTACCGACCACATATCACACTTACCGCACATATTTTTGTAGTAACTTTGTACGAATCTTGCATTGTCCAGCCAGCAATGCGAGGGATTTTTTTGTAATCGTAAGTAATGAGTCTGTACGTGCACAAAAGACTACCGATGATATTTGACACAATGGGCAAAGAGGTCACCAGACTTTTACCAATTAGTACACCGATTTCACTGTAATCACCTCTTTTTTCTCACACGATCTGAGTAGCGCGTCCGAATGGCAAGCCAACCCCACGTGAGCTCCTTACCAAGATTTTGGGCGCCTCTGGAAGGGCTAAACGACACGCAGAGTCTCCAAAGCTCAATGACTGGTGGACCGCCCCGTCCCACACGCTATTGGACTATCCGGCTAGCCATCCTGGCTGGCGGACTGCACGCTGGTACTGGGTATCAATGGGCTAAGTAGGTTTTCTTCTTGAAACGTATGTGTGTCCCATCAAGACAACCACACAACCTGGGGCAAAATAATCCACGAAGAAAGGACACAGTCCGTGAAATGCGAAGGACATAATGTCTGCGCCAATTGACGCACTGGATCGCCCATATCAGATATTTTTGGTCGACAGAATCGCCACTCCCCCTCCACCCTCCCGTTGGATCGTTGGAAAAAAGCCGGTCATGGCGTCAGTGTATAGACGACGTGAATGCTCATAATGATGTGTCACACATGCGTCTGTTGTGTGTCTTTCTCTAAATTTTGACGACAGACTCCGTTTGAGACACGTTTATTATGACTTTGGCATGCAACATATCCTGGTGAGGCGGCAGCGACAACAGGGCTGCCTTCGCCAGCCACCACCGAACGTCGACCGAACGTACAGTCGCATCTCGTGCTAGGTGGGATTAACGTGGCGCAGGGGTACAGACGGCCTCCAAGCCCGGACGCCAAATGTTAACATTTGGCAACACAGTCACACACCGATAATAACGTACTACCAGCATAAAGCACACTTCTAAATAGTTTAAATACACTTCAGTTGATAACTGCTCCAGCAAGGTTACCCCTAAGTGGTGGTTCGTTAGAGTTGAAGGGTTTTGGAAAATATGACCGTTATGAGATCGTCAAAGAGGGATCACTTATTGCCCACGTCATCAATTATCTGTACAACACCGGCAACTACGGGGGAGGGGAAAGCAACGCACACGCATGTGTCAAGTGCGCAATGGACACATGACACATGATAACAGCGATTTTTGAAACTTGGATGCAAATGAGCATAATGACTGCATACCTGCAAATGACTCCGAGTACGGCTGTGGCAATAAAATCTCTGAATTTCGAGCGTACGCCATGCGTAGCCCGAATGCGCAAGACAACGCCACGAAGGTTCCAAGTCATACAGCTAGGACATAGACGGGCAGGGCATGCTAAAACGCACACGACCGGGACATTCCATTTCCCGCTGGCCGCCGTCCCGAGCGACGCCAGCGTCTCAGTAGGAACGATCCGACCATCATCTGAGGTACAACTTTGTACACAAACACGCGTAAACAGTATCCAGCGTACTGTGAGTACGAGACCCCAGGAACGTTGACAAAATGCGTCACAGAAGCCCTGCACGACCTTGCTCTGACACTGCAACGATTCTACCTATTCTCCCCTCACATGCATGCACGTTGGGTCTCCGCAAAAAGCAACGGCTGGGCCCGGAAAGTGCATGACGTTTGTCGGGAACAGGCCATTTCTATTCTTGGAAATATTGTCTCCCTGAGTTATGCAAGTGAAGACCAGGGGACGACAGGAGCGACATGACATTGGCCAGTACATCATAGGTTCAGCCGGTAAGTTCATCTTCAGACACAGGCCAGCTTTTGTTCTCGCACGAACATTGCACTAGTCATCCACTCCAAGCGGCCAGTAAGAATACAGCAGCAGCCGCCTTCCTGTCAACAAGTTAACCAGCCAGCAGGCTCAAATCGAGGAACGCCGCGTACGGGAGCAACAGGACATCGGAGCACGGCGTCAGCAGTCGCCGCGCGTGCTCGACGAGCACACCCCTTCCCCTGCCCCGACCGGCCCTCATGAGATCGGACTGCTGTGTGTCGCGACGGTCGCCGACGATCTCCGGCACGACCTCGTCCTAGCGGCGACACAGCCAAGTAATACTTGTTTGAAAAGCTCGAGGTGGCAGCAGCGTCGCCTATAGCCGGGCGGCGCTGGGCTGAGCGAAGAGTACTCCCTGGTAAACCACGCCGTTCAGCTCCATGCTCAGCACCAAACTTCCGTCGCCTGTGGCAAATGGAAGACAAAGGGGTAAGCGATGGTGTGTGTGCGCATTTCAAATCATGGAATCGTGGGATGGCTGAGATACACATGGCTTCCTGCACCTGACGAATATCCCCATCGTGTGATATGCATATTGCGATGTAAATTAAGCTACGAATGCGTGATATGCCCTGGACGCTGCCCCAGTGCCGGGTTGGACCCTTCTCCAGTACCGGGCTGGGTGCTGCTCCAGTACCGGAATGGACACAGCTCCAGTACCGGCCTACCGCATACGTGAGCACATTCTTCCAACGCCTGTCAACATCTAGAGTCGGGAGACGAACCCAGTGAGCCTAGCATACCAACCGGAAGGAAAATGGCGGATGGCATAATATAGCACGCGCTCGGGCGGGAGTGAAATTGACCCCCCAAAGGTTTTTCCAGACTGGTTTCCGAACGGCGCGGCGTAGCCACGCCAAATTTTGCATAGCTGTGGACAATTGAATAGCGGATCGCTTGGCATCATCAATTTAGATGTACCTTGTGAGGTCGCTGACCTATAGCAGGTCAAAATCAGGCCATGGTTTCAGCGAAGGCAATTTCTGAGGAATCCTTCAATCTGATACAACAACGGAGTGTTAGACGAAACCATGCATCTCTGAGATGCTTTCTTAAGCAACACAACAGTTGAATGATAAAAATACATTGACCTAAGGTCAGGTATGAAGGTCACACCAGAGTCAAAACCAACCTATTTTGTTGCTCTAGGGCTTGCTGTATGGGATAGTCTCTGGTGCTCACTTCGAATTTAGTGATAGCAGGAACCGCATTATGCATCGTCCATGGACTTCTTAGATGTCAGAATAGGTCATTAACCTAAAACGACCCAGGTCAACATTTTGTTTTCGGAACATACTGCCTAGCGTAATCTCTGTCGCTTAGGCAGATGCAAAACTCGAGCAATCTTGCATGCTTTTGGTCACCTTGACCTTCGGAGGGTCAAACAAGGTCACTGACCTTAAATGAGCATGTTATATTTTTCTTAGAAACGGTTATCTAGGTTCTGAGGGTATTTTGGAGACCAAGTTGGAACTTGACCTTGTTTGACCTTTTTTGACCACAGGGTCATGACATAGGAACCTGAAGCTTTGACCTGAGTGAGTTTACAAACAGTAAATTTACAGTAAAAAAACAGTAAATTTGGCGTCTCTAGCTCTCTTAGTTCCCAAGATCTTAGGGGGGTCAAATTGACCCCCTACCAGAGCGAAGGGTATCTAGCCGGCCACCCGGGCGCGTGATAACCATGAAACCGAGCACAAATTAGGAGGAGACCGAGAAAACTTTTTGAGATTTACATGAGCTATCCGGCGCTTAAGTTCTTAACTTTACTATTCTGTCCTGAGAAAATAGAATATCTAAAAAAGGTAAAGCGAAGAAATATCTGCCCGTGACTTGTGAGCTGGCGGAGCCTCGCCACAGGTGGGGATAAATATCCGAACAGGTACTTTACAAGTAACGACACTATCCAATTGGGTGCACTGAACATCCCAATACAGTGCAGTATAATTCAGGGTGGATTAACGCCCCAATTCATCTTCTAACAGCTCTAGGATTTTCGTGGTCAAGGTTAAGATGCGTGGAAAACAGCGGCTAGTTCTGGCGCTCATCATCACGCGGCACACATATCTGAGCGGTGGGTGTACAAGGTCTGCTTTAAAGCTGCGACACATGCATTATGGCCCGAGTGACTGCCGGCAGGTGGTGAAGTGTATTCGCTGATCATTGCAATGATCGAACTCCTGCTGCTTTGGGACTCACCCTTGGACGATATGCTCATTTTTGTGTGAGGCAGCGCGTTCATCTTGTGCTCTTCGTCATCCGACCGAGCCCTTTTGTTGGGTGGCGGCGACAGGTCGTCAGGCACCTCTCGCGTCATCTCCTGCTCCCTCTCGCGCTCGCGTTCTCTCTCGATCTCCCTTTCGCGCTCGCGGTGCAGCTCCAGCTCGCGGTCTCTCTCTCGCTCCTGTTGCTCGCGCTCCCTTTCCTGCCTGAAAGCCGAACGGATTGGTGACAGCTGTTCTGCACAATTCGACTGCATGCATATTGAGCGGGTTGTCTAACCCACCTTTGATTACCCGTTCGCGTGTTAAACGGCTACGAACACAGTGTCGTAGCCAAGGGGGGCTTTTGCGGTAATGCCCCCGCCCCCTCGCCTTCTGGCAGGTGCCCCCTCACCCTTCAGGTCGAAAACCCCAGTACTTTTTGGCGGTTTAGGACTCCCGTAAGGCAACTAAAACATAATAAACGGGTTCTCATAGCATCAAAATGGAATTCTGAACCTAAAACTTGCTCCGGATAGAAGCAAACAGTTGCTTTAACGACAAAGTGAGGCCCCAGGGGGGAAATGCCCTTATACTGTTTTGGCTCCTCCTGGCGTAAATCACCAATGTACATGGCGTTGCAGCAGTTCAGCAATTCATTACGGTCATTGGCCCTGTGTTGCTATGAGTTGCATACGTGTGTTAAGTAAGCAATTGTGCGCACGCGATGCCAGAACACACCGGCAACTAACAAAAGATGTTTATCTGGACACCGGCACCTGACAAAAGACGCTCAGCTGAACTTCGGCAAGCCCTGAGCGCCCGCTGCTCGCAAAGTTGCAACATATGCCCCGCAGACCGCGCGGTCTCACAAGCAGAACACTGTTTCTCAGGCAAAGACGATGACAGGTCGAGGTGGTTTTTCTGAGCGCTGCTCACCTCGCCATGATTTCGCGTCGGACGCCGAGGTTGAGGGCCTCGCTCTGCGGAGCCAGGCCCATGCACTCGGGCTTGCGGTGTGGCGGCGAGGGGATCGGCTGTCTGTTGCTGTACAGGTTCCACAGCGTCATCAGCGTGTCGTTGGCGGACGGCAGCACGGGGCCGCCCATGCCCGGCAGAAACGGAGAGCCTGTGGACGACACGTGTGGCTCACCCTCAGAGCAAGCTGGAAACGGCGTGATCAACCAGAGCGATGGGAGGGCCCCCGAAACGCAGGAGAGGAGCGAAACCCCGATAACTCAATTTTTCCCGCGCATCGCCAAAGCTCTCGGCAAGCTTGTACGAAAATTGAGAACGGCCACTGTCCACCCGATGCTGCAACACCCACGCAACCAAGAACCAACCACTGCCGTCCTGCGACAGTTCTGCGACGAGTGATGTTTTCGGTGAGGTGAGCCCGCTGTCCGAGTTGCGACTCGATGTGGCCGCGTGCAGCGCCGGCGCCGGCGGCCTTGATCGGGCGCCGGCGGGCGGTGTAGCGGCGCCGGCGCCGCTCGACCGATTGATCATCACTCTCCCCCCTCTCCACGTCCACGCCCGAACGGCGTCATCAATCGTATGCAAATACAAATTTCATTACTTTATCATCGTTAACCGGCGGTGCGGGCAGTCGGTCATTACTGCTGCCGGCCGGCGCGTCCCGGCCGGGCGGCGGAGGCGGCGGAGGCGGGGGCGGGCGGCGAGAGGCGGGCGGACGGGCGGGCAGCGGGGCCGGGCGGGGCCGGGCGCGTCCTGGCCCGGCTGGGCGGCAGGGCCAGGGCGAGGGAGGGCGGCGGCGGCGGCTCGCTGCCGTCGGCCGCAGTGACCTGCACCAAGCCGTGGAGTGGTGCCCGCCACCTCTGACGTCGCCACGGTCGGCCGTGGCGGCCGGGCGGCCCACATGGTGCACAGGCCGAGCTCGGGCGCCGAACGCCCGTCCCTGGACTGTCGAGTCTGGCTGAGGCACTGTTCAGTCATGCGAGGAGTTGGCTGTAGCTGCCGCTTGATGTAAGCGAAAAAACCGCGTGCAGTATACCCTTCTGAGATGGAAGTGACGTGCAAGTGCAGAACTCAAACCATGACCTGAGGACTTCCCTAAGTATCTCTTCCATCGATCCCTCACCCCCCCCCCCCCCCCGCCCCCCGTAATCAACGAATAGTCTCCCTGTCATGCCATCAAGTGGCCAGCACCTTCTCACAGGGCACCGGCCGTGAGGCCGCCACAACGCCCGCGCGCAGCGCCGATGTCTTTAAAATAGTCGTTTAATTATTCTGTTTGTGCCCGAGGTTGTGGCCAGATGTCGGATCGGCCGATTGATTCGATAATGGCCGATTACCGCGCCGCGGGCCCGACATAATGCCGCTCATTTACCAGGCTCCGCCGAGACCGCGCCGCCGGCACCAATAATGAATACTCGATGATGATGTTGACATGATAGCGCTACGGACGGCCCCCGGGATGGAGGCGATAGGCGAAATGCGAAAGTGCTTCGGAAGATTGGAGCGAGATTGAGGCATTAAGAGGATTAAAACAGAAACGTCACGCGAAAAACAGCTTGATGACGAACCATCTCGCTCTGCTGCCTAGATTCACCGGTCAATTTACTGGAGCTACAGTGAGTGGTAACATGTAAACCTTTTCAGTGACCGCTCCGTGTCAACTCTCCGTGTGCGCGCAGCGCAGGGAAGTTCACTAACCCTCCAGAGACTTGCGCCTCGCAGGACCCGTGACTCACATGCCCCGTGACATGTCGACGGACGGAGCCAGCCTCGGGTGGAAGGTCACGTGACCTCGCCCGGACAGCGCCAAATGTGCCGGATCCGCGCAATTATGCAGATCAGCTCAGGGTATTATGCCCAACGGACCGGCGTCTGGTATAGGAGCCGATCGGCGGCCGGGCCGGCAAAATAAACGAGATCCCTCTGTTTTGTCCTCGGCCTCTTTACGTGCTTCGCCCGGGGCTCGGAGTAATTCAACCTCATCTTGGCACCCACAACGGCCGCCGCCGGTGATTACCATTCGCCTGCGCGGCGCTGAATATTCAAGGCCGACCAGCGATTGACAAACAGCGAACATGTGGCGTACGCGAGTATCCGCCAATTTGGGCGGGTGGCCGCCGCCGACCGATCGCTGATTGAGCGAGGGATGTGTGCAGACCCGGAGCGGCGGCGCCCGCGGCACCGCTCCGACAGCACGGGCCCGGGGCGGTGCCCACTCCCAGTCCCTTCCAGACTCTTGGAAATAAAGGCCGGCTGACCTTCGCAATCATCACCCGCCAGCTGTCTAAAGTTCAGGTGATAGGGTGGCGTTTATGACCGACTTCCCCGACGCCGGGACGCACAGCGGCTCCCCCACGCGATAGCGTGACGTCACTGCCCGGGCCATCCCACAGGCCGGGTGAGGTCTTTCTGTGCGGAGCAGTGCTGTGCTCTCCTCGCTGGGCAGCCGCGGAGGAGCCAGCGGCCTGGCTGATGCAGTGGTGCTGTACTCACTAGGCGGCAGCGGGTGGCCTCCGGCGCCGTTGGTGCCGGGCCGACTGGTGACCAGCGACAGAGGAGACAGGCCCTGCTGATGCAGCGTGGTCGGCATGCCGTTGGACAAGCCGAACGACTGCGCCATCGAGCTGGAAGAGCGGAGCAGCTTGTAACACATCCGTATGATTCAACAGTAAGGTAAAGAAGAGCTGGGGAACGCTGCAGACCTGCCGTCAGAGCAACAGGCAAATGTCATCGATCTTTCTCAGGAATGAAAGAATGTTTGATAAGCACAACAACGTCAGAGCCCGCACACAGCAACTGTGGACTGCGGAGCAATGCCAAGCTGAACTCTACTCCACCGCTGTCACTTCTGCGAACGTCAAGTGTGCAATGGACAATTATCTTCATGACTAATTAGCTCACTCAAAACAAACCACATGTCAGTAATTAGTCGGCAACGGCCTCTTCGCACGCTCATGGAAATCGTAGGTGCGTGCAGTACCAGAGCGGTTTGCCCGGGGGCCCGCTACACGCCCACTAGCTTACAGCGCGCCCACTCGTCTGACAGGGGCGGCTCCAGGAATCATTTATGGAGGCACGCAATCAAAATAAACGTGCCATGCCCCTTGCATCAACGCACCATGCCCTGATCATCACAATGCCCGTTGCACAAAAGCCGTTTCACAGCCCCCGTCTCCGACACTGCCTGGAGACGGGCCTGCGCCACCGGCCGTCAACGCACTACTGACCCCGATAGCAGTGGCGACCTCTGCACGAAGTCGGCGTACGAGTTGCTGTTGTAGGTGCTGCGGCGGCCCTCGCGCCGGTTCCCGTCCACGGCTGCCTGCAGCTCAGACGGACTGCTGAGACCTTCCTTCTGACACTCCTGCGGGTACAGGTACTTCATGTACCTGTGGAACAGGCGCCGGCGGTCAGAGGTCGGCGGAGACGCCAGCGGGTTGTCGCTTTTCTGCTTTCAGGGAGTGAGAGCCGTCTGAAAGTGTGGTAAGGAAGCCCTAGTTTAAGATGTATGTAGGTTCGCAGACAGAAAGGTCAAGTACAGCCGCCAAAGTGTCATCTGTTGAAAAATTACCAACAAATGCAAAAATGGCCGGAGGTGTTCATAAAAGATGACACATTTTTGCTCATTCCATCTTGCACAAAGTTTGAGTGTCTTTCATGACGCGCGCGGAATCCATTTACACGTCATCGCGTCTTGACACTTCAGTATTGTGCTGTTTGATGCGGCACACGTTCATGGCGGTCGCGGCGAGTCATCATTACGCCTGAGGCGTCGCCGCGGGCGATCCCCGCCCGTGACGCGATCGCTGACTAACACGCGATTGGTTCACGCCTCCCGCCCCGGGCACGGGTGCGAGCGTCCACCACGCGCGGTATGGAGAGGTCTCCTCACGGGACCGGGAATCGCGAGCCAGGGGGGCGCTCTGGGTTCTTCTCTCGCGGGCGGCGAGCTCGCAAGAAGCCGACATCACGTCCCTCTGGGGCGGGGCTCCTTGCAAAACGCCTGCAACGATGCATGACCTACAGATGGGACTGGTGAGCAAACCATGAGCAAGCTCGCAAATCAGACCAGGCGCACTTGCAGCCAAATGATCGGGCTGGCTGACCCACGCCTTCGGAAACCAGCTGATCCCGGCGTAACCGACAAAACCTCAGGCCAACAGAACAGCTTAGTCCCTAGCGATGCCGGTCAGGTCACCAGTGCGCTCAGAAAGCAGCTCCATTCGAAAACGCCCGACGTTCCAGCGCCGTGACGGCCGCCACCGCCGCGAGCCAGCTGCCGCCAGCTCCGGGCGCGAAACCCAGTATTGCACGCGCCTGCACGTGATGCAGAACAAAGGCCCGCATTGCGGCATCAGCGGTGGCCGTAAATCGCGGGCTGAGTGCCGGGGACGCGGCGTGCAGCGGCGCGGCGCGTGCGCGCGCGGCGAACGTGGCGCGGCGGCCGATATCAGAGCGCGATCTGCCGCGCGGCCGGCGGCGGGGTCACACCGTCCTCGATCGGGCCGCGCTCGGCGAACGGCCGCCTCATGTGGCCGTCGGGCGGCCGCGGGCGCGCCCCGGGGCGTCGGGCGATCACGTGTGGCCGGGGCACGGCGTCGGCCGCCGCCCGCCGGCGCGTATCACCGGTTACTACCACTTGCCGTGACTGGGCCGCGTTAGCCGGCCCGTTTTATTGATATGAATCCGGGAATTGGGCGCCGCGGCCGCGTCGGGCCGGCACAGCGGCGCCATTGCGGCCCGGGAAATCGCACCGACCGCCGAGAGACTGCCGCCGCGACGACTGAACGTCCGGCGACCGCCATAATTGGCCGCGATTGCGTACGACGCGATTTTACGATGCGCGATTAGACGGCCGCTGAGAACAAGCCGCTACTACCGCCGCCGCACAGGTTTCTTCCCTCTTGCGGCGGAGTCGCAGAGGGACTGGCTGCGCGTATGTGTGGGTGGGTCATACAAAGCCTCAGCTCCTGGAAATGGGTGGGGCAGGCCTCGGTAGAATAATGACCCGTCTTAACAGAGAAAATTGCACCTCTTGCACTGGCGAAGAAGCGGGTTCCGTGATGTTTATATATATATATATATATATATATATATATATATATATATATATATCTGTATGTATGTATGTATGTATGTATGTATGTATGTTTGTATGCATGTATGTATGTATGTATGTATGTATGTATGTATGTATGTATGTATGTATGTATGTATGTATGTATGTATGTATGTATGTATGTATGTATGTATATCGCTGGGGCAAAACACATCTTGTGGTACAGATTTGCGTACTGTCGTTACGGCGTACCTTACCGCCAAATATTAGCATGCTTTGGAAAGCGACTTTTGTTCTCCCTTTATATAAACGCGCATGGTGAGTCTGACTTAAAATATTTCACACTTAGCATCTGAAGCACACCGGCACAACAGAACAAGGTTTTAAACCAGACATATGAGGTGATTGAAGACTGGTTTTGCAATGTTACGTACCGTCATCTCGCCCACATTTATGGTTACGTAAACGTTCGAAAGGGTTGCCCGAGTGGAAGGTTATGTTCTGTCTAAACAGAAAGCTTTTGAAATCACCGCAATCGCAATGTTGCCCGTGCCGATAGCATGGATCACGGTTAGAAACTGCCTCAGCTCTGAGCCCCAAGGACGATTATATTGGCCCTAACCAACCACGCCAGGCTCGGTTCTGTTCGAGATTGTGTTAATGGTGTACGGCTCTTTCCCCGGCCGAGGCCATTTCGACCAAGACATTTCTCAGTCTGGCATTACCTGATATTAAGATGCTAATGCCGCTGTAATTACCGACTTCAGTGATATTCCCCGGGGGATCGCGGTGCCTTTATGGCCATCCCGCCTCCCGGAAGGCGGCCCCTCACGAACAAAGCGTGGGCGTGACCGTAGCTGGACGCCACGCCGGGCAGGCCGGCGGGCCCGCAGCGCGCGCCAGCCCCGCCCGGAGGAGCAGGTCCTGCCGGAGCGCGACGGCGGCGGCGGCGGCGGCGGCGGCGGCGGTCCGGCGCCGGTGTCCGGGCGACAGGCGATACACGGCCGGGGGTCAGCATCGCGCCTCACCCGTAACCGGGGCCGACCATGGTAACCCGCCGCGGCCGCCGCCGCCGCCGCCGCCGCCGTCGTCGTACGGACACCCGCGCCGGTGTCTGGGCAGCACACGGCCGTTACCAGGGCCGACCACGGCAACCGGCCGCTGCCGCCAGCCTCATGTCGATCTGCTCTCCATTGAGAGCGAAGCGTGTGGGGCCAATTAACCTTTCAACTTGACCAGGGCGGCATAACGCCGCTAAATCATCCCCTCTCGTTACCTGCAATCGATAGTTCAATTCAATTACGGCCCGGCGTAATAAGCGCCGAGATGGCGGCCCATACATCGCGATGCATTAGCCAGCGGCGCGGGGACGGGATCGGGATTGGCCGATCACTGATGAGCTGATCGCACACCGTCGGCGGCGTGGCGTGACGAACGTGCCATTGGGAATGTGAGAGAGTGCCAATTGAGTCCATTTCGGACGGTACGTAACGAGCCGTGAGGCGGGATTGCGGGTCGCTTTCTTTCCGAGTACTCCTCGCTGTGGTCAGGTCACGGCCGCGGCTGTTTAATATTGTTCTTGGAAAATCTGTTTTCACCATCATGGCAAGTCTTTCGTTTGCAGCCATGGCAAAACGCCGACGTCTTCCCACAAATATCGTCACATCCGCTTTAATTGGGATCGTAGAGTTTGCTGAAATCCGTCATTTTCACATTTGCTTGCTGCTGCCAGGTAATTCATCGACGCATGGGGTCATTAGCGAGGCCCCCAGGCAAAAGCCAGGGGACAAAGACAGTTTCCTATCCAATGGGACCTGGAAGTTTTGTCTACAAGGAGCCTTATCTAATCTAATCGGATCCATATCTGATCTAATCGGAGCCCTCTCTTAAAGGGAGCTATGTGGCCCTTTTGCGCTTGCTAGCTTTGTTTTGCACATTAACATGAAATGCCTCCCAAATAAATATATTCACGAGCTCTAAGTTTGTAATTACCTTTCAGAAACGCCACTTGCTATGTAAAAAAGATGAATATTGCCGCCCACCAATAAGATTTCGGTGATTTAATGCTTCTACCGATACTCACTGTGTACGCAGGGTGAAGGCTGCAGACGTGATGGAGGAGGGCAGCTTCAAGCCCTTAATAATCTCCTGCCACAGCTTCTTGTTGATGACCTCCACCAGCCCACCACGGGCTACCACCAGGTTGTACAGCTCGTAGAGGTCCAGCACCTGCTTCGCCATTATCGGTAGACGGTTTATCGGAGTTCCTGAAATCAGAATGTGCCTGAATCCCAGACGAATGCCTTCAGCGATCATGCTTCCATTTTGCCCCAAATACGTGGCGCCTGTTCGACACAGCACGAGCGGCAATAAAACAACAAAACTTTAGCTTTCTATTACCAGAGCTGTCACCCCTTGACCCCACAAACCATCTCCCTGAATGTCCGATTCACCCAGACGAATGAGCCACCAAACGCTACGCGTGTTTTGGTGACGCTCAATGCCCGCCCGGCCGCGGAGAACAAGATGCCGCGGCGATACGGCGCGCCGCGCGACCGGGCCCTTTGTGTCGCGCGCCGCCGCGCCGCGCCGGCGCCTGAAAAACGGCCGCTGAAAGGGCGTGGGCGGTCGGGCCCGCGCCCGGCCGCCGGTCAGCCCGGTCGATCGCTTTTTGTTGACATTGTTGGCATGGCGCGCTCGATTCGGCCGCGATACCGGCGCCGCGGCGGATTCCGCGCAAGGCTGACTGACCGAGTCTCGGCGGCGGCGAACCCCCGCCTGCAGCGGACGGCAACGCGGCGCGCCCTGTCCAGCTGCTGTTGACATAACTCAGGCGGCGCCCGCGTGAGACCGCCGCAAAAACGGCGCCGTCTAATCCCCGGCGATCGGCGCTGCGCGGCCGCCATGTGAAATATTGTCCCATCGGCGGGCCAGATTACGGCCAAGTACACGGGCCCGGTTTGATATTCAAAGAAGGGGCCGGCGGCACACTGGGGTCGCCATTGTCTTCTGACACAAAAATATCTGCCTCGTTTGTCATTTGAAATAAAGGAGCCAGCTGTTGGCGCCGGGACGACGGCGCGCCGACCGGGGCGGAGGGGCGTCAAGTGCTAGGTGGCGAGGGCCAGACACTGCCTAACCGGCCGCTGTTTTATAGCAGATAAAAACAGAGGTGGTGCTACCGGCGCAAACAACCCAGCGGCGATCTGGAGCTTAATGTCCGGCTTTGAAGTGGACGGACCGACAGAAATAACAACCTCCGTGGACAGCCAGGCAGTGAAGCTTCTGCTGTGAACTCAAATGTGTAGCTGTTTAAACAGCAGAGCTTCAGTTCGAATCCTTCATACTCAAGAAGTGAATAGGAACCAGAAAAGACATTTTACTCGTCATAATACTAGAAAAATAGCCTGAAAAGTTGTACAGAATTTCTGACATGGCGCCTAACTTGCATCGGTGCCGATGAAGGACTGCTACGGAAGAGTAGCTGTGCACAAAACAGGATTGACATCTTTGGGATGCTTTGATTGCATCCCAAATCAAATAATCAGGAAGATGCAATTCTTCATACCTTTTGCAATCATTTAATTGAAACTATGCACTTGTTTTCCACAACGTCACTGTCGTCAGCACAGCAATACTCGCCGCGGTAAAAGGGCGCATTGCTCCGTGGATCCTCGTTCGAGCTCATTTCCAGAGGCTCGGACTCAGCAAAGTGAGCTGGGGCGCTGCGAGCTGGGGCGCTGCGAGCTGGGGCGATGCGAGCTGGGGCGCTGCGAGCTGAGGCTCTGCGAGCTGGGGTGCTGCGAGCTGGGGCGATACGAGCTGGGGCACTGCGAGCTGGGGTGCTGCGAGCCCCAGCGCTGCGAGCTGGGGCGCTGCGAGCTGCGATGCAGCCCGACTCAGAGGTAACGCCACCGGCAGCTCGGATCTGTAGGCCGGAAGCTGGGACTGGAGCTGGGCTGGGAGCTAGGGCTGGAGCTGGAGCTGGTAGCTGCAGATCGAAGTCGGCTCTGGAGCTGGAGCTGGCAGCTGCAGATCGGAACCGACTCTAGAGCTGGAGCTCGGAGCTGTAGACCAGGAGCTGGGACTGGAGTTGGGGCTGGAGCTGGGGCTGCGAGCTGCCGGACGAGAGCCGGCCCCAGCCAGCCGACGTGCGGCTAAAAGCCCGTCTAACCGCGCCGACAATGACCGGAAGAAGGCGGTCCAGCGGGGGCGGGGGCGGGGGCGGGGCCGGAACAGCGCCGGCACATGCCAACCATACCCCAGCCGCGTCCGGCCGGCCAAAAAACGTCCGCTGCTGCGCCGGAGGTGGCGCCGCCGCGGCGTACCGCTGCGCGACGCTGGGTGGCCCGGCCGGGCGCCTCCGAACGCCGATTTATGATAATGTTTTTATCCGGTGTTGGCCGTCCGTTCAGGCTTTTCCGCTCTTTAATTGCCGTTTTATTCTGGACGCCGGACCGGTATGGAGTCCCGCTGCTGTCGGACATTCCTGTCGGCCGTTCAGCGTCGCCCTGGTCACAAGGTTACGCTGAATGTGACCCTCCCTGTGAGCACAGATGCTTTAAATAACCTCGCACCATGCTGGGCGACAGTCTCTTGGCGTGGAGCAGACTGGTACGCGCCGTTCACAGTCATGCTGTGCAGATGACCACGACCGCATGCGCCCCTCCCGCTGACAGCGCCGGCCGCAGCTGCCATGGGCACAGACACAGAGCACCCGCACTTCGTAGCCTCGTGCATTCCCCTTGTAAAACAACCTCTGGCCGGCACGTAGGTCACGCGCGCCGTGCGGGCCGGGAGTGTCGCGCGCCCCAGCAGGCCTCTGCAGGAGCTGCCGGGCCTCGGCCGGCGGCGACGCGGCCGCGGCGCAGTGCCAATAAGCATAAACTTGCCAATCGCTGGCGTGATCTGCGAGCTACACCGCCTCGGCGGGGAGTGCCACTGCAGCGGGCGTCTCCCGAGACCGGCATCGCACCGGGCCCGACAGCACGACGGAGGGATGGAGGTCTGGCAGCTGACACCAAGTGACACAAGGTCAAGGTCTGCCGGCTGACATCAGGACGTCCGTGGGCGGCGACGTCGACTGAGCGCCTGACGCTGCGGTCGCCCGCGGGGCCGCGTCCGCAATCCATTCAGTAAAGCCCTGTTCAATTGGGAGCGATAGCACGGCTCATTTTCCGCGCTAACCGCCATGATCGCCTGGCCCACGGCTCGATCACGCCTGACGAATTTGTCCGTCGGGCGTGTTTGTTTGCCGTGCGGCGTCCCCCACGGCGCCGTGTGCGTCAAATGAATAGCCGTTTTTCCCAACCGGTAGGTGGTTATTATTGCTGGAGGCAGACGCCGAGCAAAAAGCGGCGACTAGCGGAAATAATTGATATAAAATATTGCGACGCGCTCGCCCAGGGGCGTAAACCTTCGCCTCCGGCTAATTACGAGGGTACATAAACATCCCGCCAGCTCATTATTGACACCTTTCTCCCGCCGCGGCGCGGCCGGCAACGCCTGTCGACGGAAACGAAAGATGGCGGCGCCCGTTAGCAGCCCGCTGGCGGGTCGCGCCCCGACCTAGCCAAGCACGATCTTGTTAGCGGCGGCAGCGGCCGCCGGTCACTGCCAACGATGAACACAGGAACGGCTTCCTGGCGACGGCTGACGGCACAGGCGAGCGGCGCGGGTAACGACGTGGGTTCCGCCCAGCTGGCCTCGCACCTTTCCAATCGGCAATGAGCGCAGGCTCAGATTTTATCGCCGATATTCTCACGGAACTCCGGCTGGTTACGGTGGAGTCAAACCACCGCCACGCAACCAGATCCGGGTTATGCTTTCCGGGATCGTAGCAACCTATTTTCAGTTGTTTTTAACAGGCACACGCAGAAGGGATGACGGGGCGAAAAGAGCAACAAGAGACGCGAAAGAAAGAGTGTGCAAAATATGGTGTGTTCAGACTCACAAAAGACTGAAAACATCTCTAAAAATCCAACTTACAGACAAAAACACACAAGTCGGCTATCACAATCAGCAGGCCATGCGCCGCCGGTGAGCTGAGCTCGGCTGCGACGGCCGGGGCAGTGCAGGCCGGAGCAGAGCGGGGGCAGTGGGAAGGGGTCGGCAGCGCGGTCGAGGCAGGTCCGGAATGCCGGCCGCCGATCAGATGGACCGACTGGAGCCGGCCGGCCGCGGCCGCCGATGCGCCTGACGCGACGGCCCTGTATCGGCCGCGTCTGTTGTGAACGCTCCCGGTGACGGCCGGCCGATGAACTGAACAGGCTGCCGCTGCTGAAGTGGGTCGATCGCCAGCTGATACCCGGCGGCGGCCGCTAGCTGGACCAGGGGCCGCTCCTGCGGCGTGGCTCGCTGAGAGGGCGAACTGACAGCCGGCGGCGGCCGCTCGCTGGACCAGCGGCCGCTCCTGCAGCGCGGCTCGCTGAGAGGGCGAACTGGCAGCCGGCGGCGGCCGCTCGCTGGACCAGGGGTCGCTCCTGCCACGTGGCTTGCTGAGAGGGCGAACTGAACGCCGGCGGCGGCCGCTCGCTGGACTAGGGGCCGCTCCTTCGGCGCGGTTCACCGAGAGTGCGAACTGACCTCCGGCTGGGCTGCTCGGCGGGAATGCCCTACAGCTTCAGTACTGGACCGCGTCCACGGAGCGCACCAAAGCCACTGCAGAGCCACCGCATAACCACTGCAGTTGACGCGTCTCCTCCCAGCAGCCTGGATCGGCCAACCACACATTAAGTCCGAAGACGGACCTGTACCCTCCCGTAGCAAATGAGTTCAGCGTCCGAGGCCGGCCAAACATGTCCACCCGACGGCCGTGTTGTCGCGGCGCGCGGCTGGCTCGCGCGCGCGCGCGCCGCGCCCGAGATACGGTCCGGTGCTGACAGGTCGACTCATCTGCCGGCCGGCATCGCCGCCGATCTGCGATACGCCACCGCCGGCGGCTGACCTCAGGTCCACAACAGGGCCCGATAGCCATCGATATGCCGAGTATTGGAGGCATCCGGGCCATGATATCACCTCCAGCGCGCTTCCAAACAGCCGCTGACGGCGCGGGAGCCGGGCGGCGCTGGAATGTCTCTCCGAGCGGGCTGGTGACGCGGGCCCGGCGGCGCCCAGCAGCTGGGCGCGCGCGCGCGAGCGCCGCGTTGGCGCGGCCGGGGCACGCCGCGGAGGAGACGAACAATGTCACGCACGTGACGCCACACGCCATTGTGTGAGTAGGAGAGGAGCAGACTGGACACATGAGATGACCAGCAGCGGGACCTTTTGGGGGTCATCAGCAAGATAATATTGGCGTGATGCAGTTCACGTAAAGACATCAGAAACTGATTATTGCAACGTTGCTGCTCATTTGTACCCATGTCCATGCTCACCACGATATAAGGCACTACAAAGACTTCCAGGTGCCCTTGGGCGACGAAGGGGACTCTGAACGACATCACGAACCGCTGGTCATGTCGCTTTTTGGCAGATGGAGCGCCGGGCTTACCGGACACAGGACAGGTGGCAGAACTTGACCCCCCAGCTAAGATTAAGGGGGTCAGCGCGCCACAGCGCCTTCCCCCAAATCGGTCTAAGTTAGCCGATCCTATGACGTCGCATGGAAAAAATGGCTCGGAAATCACGGGATGCCATGCGCTTTGCCTGTGCGTGTTCCACCCTGTTCCGTACCGGGGATCTCTGTTTAGTACCAACAGTGGGTCCTCCGACAAATGTGACTTTCCTCATCGTCGAGGTAGTCAGCTGACTGGTACCTGCACGGGCGCCAGCTGACTGATACCTGTGTTTAGCGCCAGTGGTCGCTGACCGACAGAGTGGCTCTCATTGTATCAGGGTGTGTGACGCAAGTGACGCAAGAGAAGTCCCTGAAAATTCGAGCTCCCCCGCCGGTTCGAAGGGCCGGCGGAGCAGCTCCGCGACCTCAAAGAGGAGGGGGCTACATCCCATATACTCCTTCTCCTCATCTACCCCTCCGGATAGTTACTCATGCGGCGGAATGCATATTCTGTATAACGCATGTCGGGAGTTGCACCCCCAGCATTCCAAATCTACGACTTACCTCTGTTTTGCATGAACCGAAACAGGTCGTCTAGGAACTCCTTCCGGCTGGGGTTGTCGTCGATTTCATACAGCTGGAAGAGGGGATGTCATCAATTAGCTGTCAGAACATACAGGCATTAAAACAATAACAAGCATGGGAGGATGCCATTACCTCCGTGGTTCAAAGGTCATGGACGTCAATACATATCGCGATATCAGTCCACCTAGCAGCCAACAGCATACTGGCATGCAGCGTCCATTCATGGAAACCAATCGGATCACTGGTCTGTTTCAGCCGGGATGCAGTGCAGTCACCAGCGGCTCAGCCCGCTCTAGACATCCGAACACCGTATACCGCGCCACATCACGCGACTTCTCTTCCGCGGAACACCATGAGTCGGCGGGCAGAGCCTGAAGACGGCCGCGTTATTGCCAGGAGACATTCCACGCGTTTATATTGTCTGTCACTGCAACGGAGAGCGCACGGCACACGTTGACGCGTGGAAAAATAAACGTATTGGAGTTCAGAATGGTGCTTTTTCTGCAGCGGGACCACTGCAGCAGGGCCATATTGGGAGTGGCGACCGGCACCGTGAAATTAATCACGTGACAGTGCAATTGGCCTATTGGCGGAGGCCAAGAATCGGCTTATAAATGATCCCGGGTGAGACCAATATGCCGCGGTAAAACTGCAATAAAACCCACCCGACCATCGGTCTTCGTGACATTTAACATCACTGGGGAGATGTTCATTATGCCATACCGCTTACCGTCTGGACGGCAAACGCAAGTGTTCCCATAAATTGGTCTACGTGGAATAATCAAGATTCGCCTCTACAGAACTCAGCTGATGGAGCGGCTTCCTGCGAATACTGAACAAACTGATGGTGCAGTGCCAATGGAGTAGCTCCATCCAACTCGCTGGCGGGGGGGGGGGGGGGGGCACAGTGGTTTCTGGTTGTTTCTTCCTATCCAACGCTCATACGCCAAGGCTAAATTTCAGCAAATGTTAGATATGAAGTCATGGCATAAGCCGTGATGGTACGCACTAAACTTTCATGAGCTTCACCTTCAGCACGTCTATTTGCTTCGTCTGGTCGGTCTAAAATTTATTGCGTGCGAAAGTCCATTTTTCGTTTTCCAAGCAGACCCTACGTAGGTTCAGTCCTGCAATACTTGGTTCGACAATCTTCTTTAGCCTGCTCTGTTCATTCACTTAGTTTGAACCGCACAGGGAAAGCGATGTATTTAATAAGCATACGATAGCAGCAATGTACGCTGTAGCCTTCGGAAACAGAGCGCAGTCATGAAGCGTTCTCGGAGATCTGCGTACCGTAACCAGGCGCACGGCGTGTCCTGGCGCCGAAGCACCCCTATCGCAATTAACGTCTGGTAGCATAGTTATTAAACTTGCGATACGGACAATTTATTCAAGGTAATTTCAATCAGGTTATGATAATTTGATATGGCTGGGCCCGCGCTCGCAGACAACAAACAAAAACTGGAGTGGAGGGTGACAAATAGGTATCCGATTTGCATGGCTTCATTCATCCCATGAACTGCCTTTCTCTTCTGCTCGTCTCATAAGACGAGGAGATCATTATTCAGGTGATCGTGTAGTAATCCGAAGCGTTTGCTTGCCACTAAACGGAACGGTAACATGGAGCCGGGGATAATTTTAATACGCTACCGATCCATAACTCGGACCGAACTATTAGTCATGGGCGGGTAATGAACAGGCGCCCGACCGGCTTCTAACCAGTCCATATTTGAATTACAAATCGGCCAGATTAAAGAGATAGGGGTCTCTGCCCGCGGACAAAAGCAGCCATGAGTCCGAGTCATCGAGAGATCGGGTTCATTTATTATCGAAGCCGCAAGGGTCGTGTGCAAATACTGGCCCAGGAGGCCATCAAAGAGTCCATCTGGTAAACAATTGCCTGGTCTGAGCTCGACTACCAGCCTCACAGTCGTGGTGCCCACACAGAGTCTGGGAGTCCGCCGACAGTCCGGGAGTCCGTGAACCAGTCTGCAGCAGTGGCAAGCCAGAGTCCGGGAGTCAGCCTGCAGCAGTGGCCAGGGCATCTCATGACAGCTTGATAAGGTCCGCACGATAGCCGGTGCCTCGACATACCGCTGTCATGCAACACACGGTGCCTGCTTTTCCCAACTGTTTGGAGGGAGTATTTTCAATTCAAAGCGCCGACAGAAAGTGTACGAAATCGAACAGCGTAAGAACTATCAGAAAAAATTCTGGCATCCAAACAGTGTTCGCTAGAGGTGGTCGTGCCGCTGGTTTTTTTGTAAAAGGAAACATAGAAGCATCTTTTCCATGCGGGATAAATATCCGATCCCATTGCGCCATTTCGTGCGTGGCGTCCCATCCAAGCAATTGCAAACCGTCCCATCACAGACAGGCTGCAGCGGTTGGCGGCCGGGTAATCATGATCACGGTCAGAACCACACGTCGAAATGACGCGTGGTTCCGATCGTGATACGTGATACGGATAAGCGAAACAACTCAAAGGAGTCCCTATATCCAATAACAGAAGGATGAAATGAGAAATACCAGCGTGCACAGCCAGGGCTGGGCAAAAGAAAATCGCCCGCTTTAGTGAAACGCCACGACATTCTTCTCACATGTGCTTTTTACATGTATCGGAAACACGCACAAAGCCATAAACTGTGAAGCTGCTACGTCATACCTTTGCTGAATGCATCTACACTTTTGATAGCCAACGCCGCTTTACATGGCAAGTGCTTTGTGCTTCCATCACCTGCTCGGTCATGCTGAACATCCTTTTGGATACAAGGAACCCAAGAAAATTTGAAAGCCTTAAACGTAACTTATTCTGTGATTTTTGCACACGGTTGGCGGATGTTTAACAATAGCATATTTTCTTACGCCCAACCATCTCAGATAATTTTAGCAGACATTTGTACCTTGTGGTGTGAATTATATTGGGACGACCAGGCCATCTAGGACCCCAAGTTAAGCACCCTGGGGTATGCATAACACGTCATACCTTTTCTCATGACGTCACCCCTTTTTGCTCCGCGTCCGACCCGCGCTAAAAAATGTGAATGGAGGAATTATGCATTATATGTAGGCACAGTAAACAAGTCCAGAGGACGAGCCAGACGCTTTCAGACAAAGTCAACGCAAAGTTAAGTGAGGCGAAACAAGTTCGCCCGGCCCCAACCCCCGGTTGTACACAAGCATGTCTACCGGCATTAGACACGAAAAACTGCAGCAAACCCCACGAGGGCACCGCGTCGTGCACAACTGGCTAACTTCCGCCTTAAACAAACGTCTCGCCCACAATGAAATACCGCCTCAGCTGTTTGCTCTGAATGTTTAATTCCTGCGGCCAGTCACAATCGAATTGCTGGTCCGCTAATGTATGGGCTCCCAGAGCCACCATCGGTTTGACTCAATTTCCCGAGCGGTAATGGGCGCCGGACCGCTCTAATAATCAGATAACGTGCCCGAGAGCCCGAGCAGAGCTAGCCATACCAAGCGGGTGATTTAATCAGGTTCTTGCCCGCCTCAGGACAGACGCTTGCTGCATCCAGCTGGTTCGAATTTGCTGTTCGAGACGTTCGACTGGGACAAAGCGGACGCAAATGTGATTTAGCCGTTCCATGTCGAAACAATACAAATTCCCATTTAGTCGGAGAAGTAATACACTTTTACTGCAAGTGAAATGTAGAAGTTAGCACACGCATTCCTTTTTTAGTAAGCGGTGTTTGGTGCGAAGTTCAGCACCGACGAAGCACGGAGCACCACAGAAGCATACCATGCTAAATCCCAAAATACTCGTACTCCAGCGAATATGTGATCTCCCACTTGGGTGTGGATGCCCTGTTCTGCTACAGACGGCGACGAAACGCACACCGATCGTAACACAACTGGCAACTTACACGAGTGGTTAGACGAAGAAGCACGAAACGCTGTAAGCTAATCCTAGGTGAGGGTATACCTCACCCTTAAATCACCTGGACGAGCGCATGCCCCGGCGGCAGATCCGTCACGGGCCACAAGCTGGGAGCCATCACATTTTCGAAGATATTTTTAACCTGCGGCGTCACCGGCGCAATGTTAACTTCCGCAAAAGTTGCGGAACCAGCTTCCGTTCTCGCAACTGCCGCGCAGCCCCAGTGCCTGAGTTGGTAAAGGGATCTCCGCCGAACACCGTGGCGAACAGCTGAGCGCCCGCCATCGCAGCCCGCCGGGCTTGCCTTCTGTTGAAAGGTGAGCCAGACTGCCTGAATCGAGCTAGACTGACTGGCACTACTGAATGACTGACTGGACTGCAGAGTTTACATGCGTACGTTGCCCAATATCGCTGTAATAAGATGGTCGTGCGAGATGATGCAGCGTTGCAGCCCTTGTTAGAGCCACTAGTCCGGCCCAGTGTACATACGGCCTTGGCATAGCTGATCTGAGTTAAGGATGTCGTTGAGCGATTTTTGTGATAAAGCGTGCGTTAGGCTTCAGGCAACTATTCGCCGACCACGTGCAGCAAAAAGCGAATAGCTGGCGGTTTGCTGGAAAATTAGCGAGATCGTAAAATGCCTTGAAGCCCATTATTAAGCCGTTATAAAGTCGGCAATCCAAGCTTGGCTTCCTCAACGAGAGGTGAAGTTGATAGGAATCGGAACTATGCCGACAGCATTCTGCAGCATCGCCAGTGGGCACATTGCTGCGGCGCAAATGTCTGGAGTCTGGCATGCTGCTGGTGAAATAAGACGCTCGCAGGGTTAGGCACAAAGCGACTAGTACAGATAAACATCCGCGCTGGCGCTGGCGCACATAACATATGCTGGCGCCCATAGCAATGGCTCAACACATCTGAACACCTCGTGTAAGTTAAATGCCTTGTTTGGGTCTTTGTCTGCATGGAGCTAAGTTTTGCTCGAGATATCAGTTCTGGTCGCTCATGCATCTGTGATCACATTCAGTTTCACTCAAACGGCCCATCCGAATCACACCGGTCTATGGTCAACGAGAGACAGGTAAAACGCAGCATAATAGCAGACAGGTGAAACGCAGTATGATAATATGATTTGGTGTATGCCAATATGAACTTAAACTCCATCCAAAAATTGGTATTAACTCTTCAGATAGCACCTTGCACACCGCACGCCGACTGCACAGTCTGCAAAAGATGGTCGACCTCGCGCACGGGCTTCCGACGGCCGTGGTCAACGCCGCCTCGCAGAGCAGCTGGGCCACAAAGCAGCGTTATTCATCAGCTTACGTCCCAGAACCAAAACGCGGATAATTAGCCACGTTGGTTGCCTGACGGCCGGCCACCTTGCGGTCGATTGTCGTCTCGCCACCAACGCAGACGTCAGTTCGATGTACGTTCATTTATCCTGCCCCCACCCCAGGCCGAACCCGACCGGCCTACCACCGCTGACCCCATGCGTTTCCGGCATTTCAATCTGGAGGGGCGCATACATCACGCGGGGGGGGGGGGCACTCCGGCCACATGGCCAAAGGTCGTGGTCTGGATTTGCCGCGCCCAGCGCCCCCCTTCCGTTCAGCCGCCGCCCCCTCCGCGGGGGCGGGGGCTTTGAAGACTTTGGGCGCATTCCGCGGGAAGTGACCACAGCTGCTGCTGCCGATCTCTTTGTCCGAGCCGAGGGATAATGTCGGCAGGGCGGCGTGGCCTGGGCGGTGCGCCCCCACCCGCTCCGGCCCACCAGACTCCCACCGCCGCCGGTCCCACCGTGGACTCCCACCGCCGCGTGCCGCCCCTCATGGAGGCGCCGCCGCCGCCGCCTTCGCTGACGAGTTGGACGGCGCTGTCGGTGACGAGGCCGGACACATGCAATCCGAGGCTGAGGCCGCCAGCGGCCGAGGCCAGGCCGGGTGTCGCCGCGAGAGGGTGTCGCAGCTGGTGGCCGATCAATCAGCGCCGACTTTGACGGCATTGACGGCCGAGGGCTAGGTTAAAACTGAGCCCGGGTAGGTTTCGCGTCGGAAACCAGTCTCGAACGTTTTCTTGCCACCGACAAATTCAAATCGGGACCAAGTATTGATCGGCAACATGCTTACCAGAGGTTATTGCTTATGACGTCACAACTGGCTGCGTCATACAGAGCCGCTGCAACCCAAATGTATGGCTACTGAGACTCACCTGTGACGTCACACGTTATAACTTGTTGACGGCCTTCAGCATTGGGGAAGAGGGCCCAGGAGGCAAAATGTGTGATTTCGTAAAGGCTGCCCTTCCCAAAACGTCTAAGATGTGATTACACACTACGCGTCTTGAAATGCTGTTTGCCTGCCATTGTTGCGATGCATGCCACGCACGCCGCGTTGGCTTCAGCTGCCATGTTTTCCAAAAACCGCCTCTTGTGCAGTCACGTGTTTTCGTGAGTTAGTCCCCTCGGTAGCACCCTCCCCCGCGATAACTCGCACCACGTGGCGGCCAAGGCGTCCCCGAGCGATCGGCGTGATGCTCAGCTGGTGCAAAAATGCCCGCCACGCGCCGGCGCTTCGCGTTTTTACACGGGCGCGGGAGGGGCGGCACGGGAGAACAAATGAAACAAAAAGCCCTATCAGAGGGGGAGGATCTGGCACTCTACATCACGTCTACAGGGCTACCGAAGGCACCGAGAGGGGCTCGGTTACCAGGCACGAGCCCGATCGGAACGCCCGCCTTAAGAGAAGAGGGCTCAGAGTGGGCGGAGCCACGACACTTCGCAGGAGATGATGGCACGGCGGCATTGCGAGCGGCGCCAGGGCGTGCTGAGGCCGGACAGAGGCGTCGAAGCCGTCCTGGAGCATCGGACAGCGCCAGAGGCTCGCGCCGGCGCGATCAAATGGGCGCCGACGCCCCGCATGCAAATATAAACATGGCTGGCATCATTAATCTCAAGGAATAAAGCAGCTGACGACAGGAAAACAAAAAGAAAAAGCTAATGGGGCAGAGATAATAGAGCATGATAGGAGGAGGGGTAGTAATGAAGTTTACGGCACATGCCTGGCAGCATCGAAGGGAAAATTTTAGCCTAAAACATCCCATGCATATCAAGTGAGCGTTAAACCGCGGACTAATTCGAATTGCATACGTCGTCTGTGGACGTTGCCTTTATCCTCCGCCGCTCCCGAGCCCGGGGTTTGAGTTCCCATGCCGGTGAGGGCGAGCACATTGTTGCATTTGTTCGAGCATCATGCCATCCCCAGACCAGCAATAATCCGCTGATGGGACAATCAGTCATCGTCGGGTTTCTCATGATCTGCCATTTCAGCAACGGCCAAGAAATCACCGCCCTGCGATCAGCGGCACTTTGTCGGCTCCGACAAACAATGGGGCCTCTTTGATCTTGCCATTTACCACGGCCCTAGCGCGGGGACTGTGACCACGAAATTGCGAATCTAATGCGCTGTAGCCGGCATGTCGCTATCCCAGAGCACTGCACGTGTGCATCGGCATGTACCGTCGACTGCCAGTGACTGGCGTAGCGGGAAGTCGCTGGCCAGGTGAGTCAGGACGTGCCACCTGGCTCCAACTCGACAGGGTTGTCAGGTCGCCGCGAAAGAGGTCAGACCTTGCTGTCATCACCATCATCAATCGGCAGGCCCTTGGCTGAGCGTTGCGCCTACCGTCGCCAACACCGGGTTTACCGGGGAGATGTCATCACCGACCGACCGGCCTCCATGCGGCTGGCGGGGTCCGATACGGACTGCCAGTGGCGATACTGACCCTCGTCAACGGGACGAGTTGGGGGAGTAACTTCATATACGACATCGGGCTGTGTAGGTGGCGGCTTCTTTGATCCACGGGGCAGCAAATGTCCGGAAAACGGACAGGCGACGATGAGCCAGGCTAGAGTGCTTAAGAGCAGCCGGTTCAAAAACCACTCTTGAGCATCGCCTGAGGCGAGACTGTCCGGGTCACGTTATGGGCAGCCGACCACATGGCGCCAGATAGCCAAGCTATATTGAGTGGCGCGCCAGTTATAAGACCAATACCCAATCAATATAGAACATGTTTCAGTCGCCTGCTATGGGCATTGGGTGCTTCAAAACACGACTGCTGTTTTCCAGCCACTGACCTGTTTGAACTGCTCCTCGTAGTTCCAGGGGGCGTTGCCGGCACTGCCCTGGCGGGGCGACTGTGCCGCCGAGCTGACCGGCGGGCTGACCGTGTCACGGGCCGGCGGCGAGCTGCTGGCCCGGCCGCCAGACCCGCCGTACCCGGCCAGACCCAGGCCGGGCAGCGGCACCAGCGACGGCGGGTTGTGCGCCATGGAGGCGGCCAGCAGCGACTGCGGCGACAGCGGGTGCCGCTGGAACGCCTCGGCCGCCGCCCGGGCCTGCGCCGACTCCCCGAGGCCCGCTTCGGGAGCCTCGATGTCCTTTGTGTCCTGTCGGTGAGTTCAAAGACTATGAGGTAGATTCCTGGCTCAAATTATCGGACTTAAGAGGAAACAAGAATTACAAATTCGCCAGATTTTTGTCGTTGCACATATATTTCGCAAGAGTTAAGCCTAGCGTGACCAAAACTCTGCTTAAAATGTCCATCGAACAACTCAGGATGAGAGCATTGTTCTAAAGAAATCAGCAATAGACGCTGGGCCTGCAGTTAATTCACCTGTCAACGCAGCACTCACTTCGATGGAAATGTAAAGATATCAGCGAACCCCGGTGGCGCTATGTCAGGTAAATTCAACTTGGCATCAGCACCCCCACTGGTATTTACCCCAACACCAACACTCGCCATGCGACGGGTCCCCACTGACCTTCCGGCTTCTGCCGTGCGTCACGTTGGCCACCTGCTGCTTCAGCTTCTCCAGGACATCCTGGCTGGACGAGTCCTCATTGCCCTCGTCCTCTGGCTCCGGGTCGGAGCGGGTGCGAGGTGAGTGACCTCTCGACAGCCCCGAGCCCGGGTCAGACGAGGTGCCCTGCCGAACGGGAGGACAGGTCACGGACAGCACACTTATCCGCTCCGACATTAGTCCTGCGGTTCGGTCGGTTCCTTGTCGGCTCGCACACAGAACGGGAGACGAGCACAACGACGTGCAATAGATTCGCATGGCTCAGAAGCTTGAAGGGTGAGTGGTGAGCGGCATCTCAGTCAGAAATACGACACCATGAACAATTTAAAGGTATATCAAGCTTCATTGTGTGCACTGTCAGCAGGGAACGCTGTAGTGACTGCCCATCCCAAGTAGCGGTGACGATCACATCCTATACAGAAGTGAACACACGGCCTGAGCAGTAGTGACCACAAGGCCTGAGCAGTAGTGGCCGCACGGCCTGAGCAGCAGTGACCACACGGCCTGAGCAGCAGTGACCACACGGCCTGAGCAGTAGTGACCACACGGCCTTGAACAGTAGTGACCCACACAGCCTGAGCAGCAGTGACCACACACGGCCTGAGCATCAGCGACTGCACGCGTGTTCGTGATCGTGTTCGCCTGGCAGCACGGCGGCGGTAGAGTCGGCCGAGGTGCCCGACCTGAACTCAGGTGCCGGACGTGTCGGCTTCTCCGGGCGGCGTCGCGCGGCGCCCTGTTCCCGCCAGGGGGGCCGACACACGACGGCGATAAACAACTGCCGCCGAGGCCGGTAATGGCTGTCAAGATGGCCAACTGGCTCCATCAGATGATAATTCGGGGCGGGACCTACAGAGGTGCATGCTGAGTAATGCTCATCTGAATTAATCTGGCCGTCCTGTGTTTGTTTCTGATGTCGGGGTCATTAATCACGCCGGTGTAATGGCGTGGGCGGCATCGGACGCGCGTTTCAAGCTCAGGCTTCTGACGCCCAGCCACGTGACCGTAACAGACAAGGGGCGAACAGCTCGGCTGTGACGACACCGAAGTGCTCTGAGGCATTCGACGTCGCTTGGCTTTGTCAAAGCCGTCGCTAGCAACCGTTTACCCGAGCGGAACAGGAACAGTCTAGTTGTTAGTATATATGTTTTTAACCCCCTCTGGTGAGAATGCAGGCGGCAAGGTCACTGATAGAATCGTCAAAACATTTAAAATTGTCCAATTATGTCTTGGAGTCCCCCTTACCGCTTCAAAATGAGTAACAAAACACTGACAAGGCCAAGACAAGCCACCATCACCATGACAACAGCCGTGTTCGTTGCCGAATCATAAACAAGACAGAACAATACCCACCATTGATATGCCCCTGTGTATTCAATTATATTCAACAATCCATCTTACGAACCGTTAAGTTAATTCCAAGCCCGGCCGAGTTAGCGCACGCCCCCAAACCATGAGGGCCGTCCAAGAATGTCGACTTCACAGGAGGTCCTGGCAGGCGTGCTTCATTCAATCAAATGCCTGCTCCATGTATATAAATTTCAGAGGCTAATCGGTGTCGTTCTTCTTGTCAGCTGTCAGCGTGGACGACCATAAGAAATAAAGTGACCCCAGGTATCGGAAGGTAGGTCCGCTGCCCCGACGTGCCACCATGGGAAAATCTGCGGGGAGAGAATGTGAAATGACCCCGATCTCGTTGACATTCCACGTGTGTTTGGACCGTGCTAAATCGATTTTATTTGTCGTTATTTAGTGGAGCTGATCTGCTGTGAGATCCGCGGTCCGTCGTCTTCCCCTTCAATCCTTGGGCGGGCAGCCCATTAGCATGCCACTCGGCGATGCCAGATCGTCTCTCGGCGATGCCAGATCGTCGCACGGTGGCGGAGTTCGATTCCCGGAATTCGTCACACCTCGTACATTACAGAAGTTGCGCTTCTCCGTGTATTCGGGCGGTATTCTCACGAGCCGCGGAGCCGCAATCTGCATTCAGATATGCAGGAATGTGTGAAATACGGGCAGGGGCCGCCGCAGGCCGGCAGGTGGGCGCCGTCTGTCACCGAGTGAGGGTCAGGACCCCGCCAAGGGGGGGGGGGGGGAGGGGGAGGGAGGGACGGGAGAGGCGCGCAGGCGTGATTCAAGCCCACCATGCATCCCCACCGGCAGCTGCACTCAAAGCCCAATTACTTATCGGTAAGGAACGTGGGAAAAAGGAGCAGGGGAAAACGGGAGAGAGTAGCGTGATGAGGAACTGACAACCACTCGCTTCCGGGAGAAGCAGGAAGCGGGGACCCACAGGATGTCGGCGCCGGTTTTGGCTTCCGGTTTCTAACAGAAGGCGATGACTGGGTCCAGTGCAAGACATAGTGATAAGATGACCTGCTAGTGCGCAGCGGCGAGCAGATGCAATTTGTATAGTGCTCACTTGGGTGGCTGGCTCAAATCTTCCTGACGATTAACGACCGGGTAAAAAACTTCGACGAGTAAGGAGACAGGAATGGGCAGCAGGGTGCTGTGCGCAGGAGACGTCCCTGTCATCACGCAAAACAGACTCGTCAAAACCCACAAAGGGTGTGGCTGAGGGCCCGGTTGCCTGCACAGACCGGTCAACTGGCGGCAGTCCTTTGGCAAACATGTTCATCGACGTTAGGCCTTCATTACCCCACGCATCTCATAATGATGATGATGATTGATGATTTGGGGCATCTCATAATCATATAGTCATGTCATACTAAGCCACATAAAATTTTCTATCATCAACCTTTCGGTCCTTGGAAGGGCCTTTCGGTTTTTCATGCCCGTTGGCTACGCGACCGGGTGGTAACCTTTTTTTCGAACGGAGTGGAATGGTTTCACTGACTGAGCGCCTGCGAAACGAGAGGTACGAGGTTCGATTCCCGGCGGTTGCCCGTCCTTCTCAGCAGGATGAGACGTGGGCGGCAGCATGGGGATTCAGCTTTTGACAGCGTCCTAAAGCCCGATGACACCAGCGAATAGCTGGCGTCATTTCTGAAAGTCCCTGGCTCATTACACTAGCATGAGGCAGGTGCGGGGGGGGGGGGGGTCGGGGCGGGGGCGAGAGCCAAGGTGGGGTAGGGGAGCTGGTATGGAACCTATGACCCCCGTGAGCCAAGATATTTACGTTAAATTCAGTGGTTTCGCAGGAATGTGGTCCGAATTCGCGAGAGCCTGGGCAAAAATATCACATTTCTCCTCAGAAATTCTGGCTACGTGCCTCGCTTCAGGGGAAATCATTTGTTGCACCACCTCACCGGGCGTACGTTCCTCACGATGACGTCAGCCAAAAAAAAACATATTCGAGCGCCCAAGTCGTTTTTTCGCAGGCGCGAGACCAGAAGCCTGCTGAGATCTCCCGACGCCAGCTGCGAGGAGCGCTGATAAATGATTACGTCTGGGGCCGGTGTATTTTCGGCGGCCGGCGCGCCGCCCCGCCGGTCGGTTCCAGCCCCACCCCCGGGGCCGCGCCGACGCCACCGCCGCTATTCCGTCCGCGAGTATTTATATCGCCGATCGGCGGCTTGCCGTGTGATTTGCACGCCATCAAAGCCGTACACGGGCGGCCGGGCCGTGGCGTGTCGCGGGGTGGTCCGCCCTCCCCCTCTCCGTCCCTCCCCCTCCCGCCGGGTAGCGGCGCCCGTGCGGCGAGCTGGGACGCCGCCCCAAGCTATTCTCGGCCGTCGAGGGGAGTTTGATGGAAACCCAGATTGGCAGAGGCGATTTTGACAAACTGGCGCTGGCCGACGATTGCCGGATGGCCGGACTCGGCGCCGGACTAGACGTGGTATTCGCGCCGGATTAGACATCGGACTCGCGCCGACTAGACGCGGGATTCACGCCGGATTAGACATCGGACTCGCGCCAGACTAGACGTGGGACTCGCAGGGGACTAGACATCGGGCTCGCGCCAGATTAGACATCGGGACTCGCGCCAGACTAGACGTGGGACCCGCGCGGTACTAGACCATCGGACTCGCGTCGGATAAGACATCGGACTCGTGCCAGACTAGACGTGGGACTCGCACGGGACTAGACATCGGACTCGTGCCAGACTGGACGTGGGACTTCGCACGGGACTAGACCTGGGAGGAGCACCTCCGCGCGCGAGCGCGGAGCGGAACTGTTTACCAGGCCACGGTATAAGCATTGACCGTACCGGTTGACAGCATGTTGTCATCACGAGCAGTCATTGGCCCTTTGGTGACACTACAACAAGTGAAGGACGACAGGCCGGTGACACTACAAGAAGTGAGGGACGACAGGCCGGTGACACGAAACGAAGCGATGGTAGGGCGTGAAGGGGTCAATCAGAAAACAGCGAGGAATAAGGAAAAAGTAGTCTTGCATGAAATATCATGTAAAAAGAAGTGACTGACGAGAGCCTTGCTAAAGCTGACCTCAGGCTGAAGGGTGGGCAGAGGGCTTGATAATGGTCAAGCCGCAGAAAAAGCACGTTTGAAACTGGACGACGCTCAAATGTGCACTGAACACGGAACTACGCCTTCACTTGGCTCGGCCCCCGCTCGGCCCCCGTCACTGGAGGGCGCGGCTCTCCTCAGCCTGGACGCGACAGCCGCTGCCGCTTGAGCGTCACGCCCTGCAGCCAGGAGCCCCGAGACCCCGATCCTTCGGAGACCAGCGGCGTCCGCAATATCGGCGCCTTTGTACTTCTCGACCGCCGCAAAACCCCAATCCCGCTGGTGTGGCATTCTTGACGAGATGGAGAATTTATCGCGGGGTTGATTATAAATGTTTGAAAATCGATCAAAAAGGCCCGTCGACGGCTTGCTTTGTGGGCTCAGGGGCTAGGAGGGTGTCACTTGTATTCAGACCGATGCCGCGATCTGAAAGAAATCTGATATGCTAATGCGGGCCAGGTGCTTTTGAAACGTGTTGCGGTGTTCCCCGTGACAAATTTATTAAATGGGTGAGCGTTGGAAGGTTTTAATTCGTACATTTCTGCCCGAAAAGTCAGTAACCGTTGGATCGCTGGCATGGCAAGACAAGGAATTTGTTTTCAGCAAGAGCATAAACCATTTTTTTCGACATGTGTGGGCAGCGAAGGAATGTTTCACCGGTCTGTGCGTGTAAAATTCACAACCCAAGAGGAG